TAACTTGCATTAGAGGTCACCCAGGGGCATTTTGGTCATTTTGTACTAGGGGCACTTTAGTCTTTTTAATTCAATACTAACTTGAACCGGCATGTTCATTCTAGCATGTAAATTTTGGCATATTACATTGCATTTTTCAAGATTAAAACAAAAAAAAGACAGAAGGAAAAAGGAAGATTTTTTTTTTTCATTTATCTTACATTGTCTCGTTAGATTACACTTTGTATAGCACATCCATTTTAATTGGTAGGCATTTTAATTGATTGGCTTTTGCATTACATACGTCTTCATAATGGAACTAACTTTTCTAATTGCGCTAATCCTTCCTTTTTAATTATGGGCTTTTGATTCTACTTTGCTATTATTTTGGACTTTAAACTTGAATGGTGTAAATTGAGCCTCGGACTTTTAATTGGATAATTTAGCATTGGACTTACTTTTTGGGCCTTTGATGATTAAGAGTGGCCCAATTTCCTTAATAAATGCACTATTGCCTTTGTTTACAAAAATAGCGAAAAAGAAAGAAATTGGAAAATGGAAAAAGAGAATTTCATTTATTATGAAGTTTACAATGTAAATTACACAAAAGGGATCAGCTTTCACGTTTTGATTCCTTCGAAATTGGTTCGGCTTCTCCCTTTTATCTTTGACCAGTTTTTCCTCCCATGCTTCTTATTGATCCACTCCCATACAGCATTGATGATATCGAGCCCCCTTGTCCTCATTTCCTTGGTTATTGACTCTTGACAAGCAAAGACAAGCAAATCCAATTTCAATAAGTAAGTAAGGAAACCTGAAAGGGCAGCACTTTTCTTCTGCATTTTTTCATTTCAGTATACATTATTGAATTTCATTCAAAAGAAAAACAAATTCTAGTCATGCATTGCATACCATTTCATTCAACAAACTCAAGTTTTCTAATTTCAAATTAATCACCAAGTCAATGGCATTTTCACACATAGCAGCTCCATCTTTTTATACATTCAACATGCATTTTTGCATTTTTACTAACCTGTGTATACATACATGCATTTTAGCTCATTCATTAGCATAAAGTTCACCCAAAAACAGAACACCCTTTTGCTTCATTCTAATTCAGCAGCATATACACTTGCACTTCAATTACATTGGCCATGATCATCCACTCATAAATCTCACTGCATTTGCATGCTCGCTCGCATATAACAATCAATTTGCCTCCAACTCGTGACATTTCATACATTCAAAACAGTCCATTTGTAAACAAAATCACCCAAAATAGTAGGCATCAGCGTATAGAATGATCGTGTCGGCATAGTGTCATTGCCTTTTCAAAAATGAAAAAAGCAGAGTGTAGCACTCTCACTGCATGCATTACATTCTTGAGCATTTCGACCTTGTCAACTTTCATTTCACAGCATTTTTATAGCATTGCATTCCTCACCATATCATGTAAGGTTTTCATCATGAAACAAAACATGCACATGGACTCATCATTGCATTTTCAAATCTATTCCCACAGGACATATACTTACAGCACTCATCACACAAGCATTTCACATTAGTACAAGCATTTTACATTAGTATTAGGTTCAAATCATTTAGGAAGCATTTTAGCATGTAATAGCATCATTTATAATCATCATCAGTTCATTCAATAAGGAAGCAGCAACATGATCAAGACTAATGGAAAATGAGGATATTCGGCAAGACAGACAACATGAGAAACAAATCAAAAAACGACAGAGAGGGTGTCAAATTGCAGAGAATAGTTCACCAGCAAATAAGAAAGAGCGTTTACCATGACATGGCGGTCTTTATGGGTCCCCAAAAGGTTTAAACCCTGTTGGATTCGCCAGCTCAGCATGCTGTAGTGAAATGGGGAAACACGTGAGTTGCCAAGACAACAAGCTGCAAGGAGGAAAAATTTCCGGTGAGATTCCATAAGGTGACAAACAGGGCAAGCAGACAAAACGACAAGGAGTAGTAAGACAAGAAATAAGCTCTTACTCTGTCAGTACCAACCCTAGTACCCTTGCCACCAACAGGCACACCCACCACTGAGTCCAAACAAGGAAGCAAAAAACGAACAAGGGTAAGGAATTCACTGTAAATGGGAATTACAGAGAAAGACAAAGCTTGCTCTCAAAAGCCCTGCAAGGAGAAAAAAGGGAATTCAAAGCTAGGAACGATAAAAAGCCACTAGGCCATTAGAGAGAAAAAGGGAGGTTTTGGGGAGGAAAAAAGAAGTGTTAGAGAAAGTGAGGGTTGATCGGTTTAGAAAAAAGGGTTTAGGAAAATACAAAGAAAAACAGAGAGTTCATCTGTTGTTAAAAAAAACTCAGTCATTTCCCAGTAGCTTTTCTAAAATCAAATCGATTAAAGGAAAAGAAGAGGGCAAGTTTCATAGCAAGCTTACCTTTCTTAAGCACGAGAAGTCAAAACGGACTTGAAGTCCGCCGCCGGGAAAGTGAACTTTAGGCTTCGGTTTAGGGATTTAATCGGTGGATTTGTAGAGCAAGGTGAGGGGAATAAGATAATCCGAAGTCAGAGGGATTTGACGGCTAGGCCCGCCGGATCGGAAGTTAGATTTGGGTACGGGTTAGGCTTGATTCGAAGGTTCAGAGGTTATTTTCAGAGAATCTCAAGCCAGATCTGGGATGAGAGGGATAAGGCGAACATTTCTGGGGATTTTCATGGCCATCTGAGCTCCGTTGAAGCTCCGATGTGGCGGAGGACAGTGGTCGATCGGGCGGTGCGATTTCAGGCAACCACAGGCGGCGGCTAGGGTTTTGAAGAGGAAGAAAGCTTTGGGAAGAAGAAGAAAGAAGGGCTTTTATAGCCCGTACAAGGTGACTCCAAAATGGCGCCGTTCCACCTAAGGTTGAAGAAAGTCTCCAATTTCAGGTATGTCTTCTATTTTTGTTTCAATTAGGTCCCTAATTTCGTTCTATTTAGTCCTGTGAGTTAATTTTTGATGCAATCAAGTCCGGATAGTTTAATCTTCAATTAATTTAGTCCCTGTCAGAATTAAATTCAGGTCATTTTCAATATATGGATCTAATTTAATTTTAATTCATTTCTAAATGAGTTTAATTTGCAAAATTAGATTAATTTAGATTTAAATTTAGGAAATTATTTGCATACATTTATATTTGTCATATCACGTTATCTCATACGCTTAGATGTATTAATCATAGTCTTTTGCCATAATAAGGGTGTCTTGGGTAACAGTGCTCGGGCACGATCTCCCAAAGATCCCTTTAGACCAGTCTTCTTTGTGAATACCTCCATAATACGTGGAAAGGGTTCGCGGAGTCGAATCCGGGTAGACTTCGATTAATGCATAAAATAAAACCAATCTTATCATGCATTTATACGGTCATTCATGTGAAGAAATAAATAAGGTTGGTAAAAGCCGTTTTTAACTATGACGGGTGGACCTTGGGCAATTGTGCTCGGGCACGACCTGCCATTGCCCACTTCGAGATCAGATACTTTTGCGGATACCCCATAATGCGTGGGAAGGGTCCTCGGGAGTTATTCGAGTAAACGACCCCTTACCAATCAGTTAAAAAAGACCAGATCATGCATCATTTGCATTACACGCATTTTTGTCAGTTAATTGAATTTTAAAGTAATAGATAAAGCATAAAATAAAAAGGGAGAAAATTAAAACTAAAAAATGAGAGTTTGTCCTAAGTAAATGAAAATTCAAAAAAATCAAAGACAAGAAGCTAATTCTCTCAATTTTTAATCTTTACTTACATTTTCCCAAAATGCCCTTCCCGGACGGAAGGCACTTATTTTACTTGCTGTTTCCCAAAATGCCCTTCCCGGACGGAAAGCACTTATTTTACTTGCTGTTTCCCAAAATGCCCTCTCCTGATGGAAAGCACCTATTTTTACATGCTATTTCCCAAAACGCCCTCTCCTGATGGAAAGCACCTATTTTTACATGCTATTTCCCAAAACACCCTTCCCGGACGGAAGGCACTTATTTTACTTGCTTTTTCCCAAAATGCCCTTCCCAGACGGAAGGCACTTATTTTTACTTGCTTTTTCCCTAAACGCCCTTCCCGGACGGAAGGCACTCAATTTTTACTTACTTTTTCCCTAAACGCCCTTCCCGGACGGAAGGCACTTCTTTTATTTGCTTCTTCCTAAAACGCTCTTCCCGGACGGAAGGCGTTGATTTTTACTCGATTTTTTCTCAGAATGCCCTTTCAAACAAAGGGCTAATTTTGTCACATTCCCGCATTTTAAGTTAAGTACTTTCGATTTCCCAAAATACCCTTTCGGACAAAGGGATGGCTTCGTCACCTTCTTGCATTTAAGTTTAGCATTCCCAAAATACCCTTTCAGACAAAGGGTCAGTTTCTTCACATTCCTGCACTTAGATCCTATTTCCCAAAATACCCTTTCGGACAAAAGGTCAGTTTAGCTATGTTTCTCGCATTCAAGAGAATAAAAGGTTTTAAGACTTAAGAAAACACAAAAAGTTTAAGATGAAGCATTCAAATAAAAGGTCTCAATTCTCCTGAAAAAAAGAAAAGACAAAAGATATAGGATCAAGGATTAAAAGCAACCTTTATTTAAGACCCATATTAGATCTTGATTAGATTAGAGGTATCGTCGTTTGGCGGGCGTTTGGGGGTGCTAACCCTTCCCCAGACGTAATCGACTCCCGGTCTTAGATTCAGGTAACAAGACCAGACCTATAGGTTTAGTGGGTCCATCGCCAAGCCTTGGTCCACATTAAGCTAGCTAGGTCAATAAGGTGACTAATCACACCTAGCAATTTGATTAGTGGCGACTCCCTTTCCAAGTCGTTAACGGCAGGGTTCGGACCCCGGACTCGCACGTTGCGACACATATGGTGGGACTTCTCCTTGCTAGTTATGAAGTTTACCTTCCAGGGTATTCTCTATACCCTTACTAGTCTAAATGCTGGCTCTATGCAATTGCTGTCTGACAAGCAGGCTTCTTGACAATATTATTCAGAGAAGTCTATATATACCATGCTTCTATCCACAAGAACATCACAACTACATAGTATAGGGTCTGTTCCTAACACATACTCTCATTTACCTCAGGATTTGCGAGATCTTTTCTTACAGTTTGCTTCTGTGTTTGACACACCACAGGGCCTTCCTCCTCATAGAGCTCAAGATCATGCAATTCCATTAAAGGATGAGACTCAAGTGGTTAAGGTACGACCGTATCGTTATCCCACAATTCAAAAGGATGTTCTGGAAAAAATGGTGGCTGAAATGAAGACTTCTGGTATAATCAGAGATAGTAATAGCTCCTTTGCTTCTCCGGTGGTGCTCGTTAAAAAGAAAGATGGCAGTTGGAGGTTTTGTGTGGATTATAGAAAGTTGAACAAGCTTACCATAAAGGATAAATTTCTAATTCCCTTAGTGGAAGAGCTACTGGATGAGTTGCATGGTGCACAATGGTTCTCTAAACTTGATCTTCGCTCGGGCTATCTTCAGATCAGAATGTTAGACTCTGACATTCATAAGACTGCCTTCTGAACTTATCAAGGGCACTTTGAGTTTCTTGTCATGCCCTTTGGCCTCACTAATGCACCAGCCACATTCCAAGGGCTTATGAACACTGTCTTTCAACCTTACCTTTGCAAATTTGTGTTGGTGTTTTTTGATGACATTCTTGTTTACTCTAAGGATTGGAAATCTCATATCCAGTACCTCACTGCAGTCTTTGAGCTTCTGAGAGCCAATCAACTATTTGTCAAGCTCACTAAATGTGAATTTGCTGCAAGAAAAGTTGAATATCTTGGCCATGTTATAACAAGGGATGGAGTCGCAATGGATGATAGCAAAGTCCAATGCATCTTACAATGGCCAATACCAAAGACACTCAAAGAGCTCAGGGGTTATCTTGGCCTCACAGGCTATTACCGAAGGTTCATTCAAGGGTATGGTGTCATTACCAAACCACTTACTGAGTTATTGAAAAAGAATAGCTTCCATTGGAGTCCAGCTGCAACTACTGCTTTTGATAAGCTCAAGCAGGCTATTTGCACCTGTTCTTGCTCTCCCTGACTTTAATGCCACATTTACTCTTGAATCTGATGCTTGTAGTGTGGGCATAGGTGCTATATTGAGTCAAAATGGGAAACCTATTGCTTATTTTAGCAAGGCCCTAGCTCCTAGGCACCAAGTATTATCTATCTATGAAAAGGAGATGTTGGCTATTCTTGCAGCTGTTAAGAGGTCTTCCTACTTGCTTGGTCGAAAATTTCATATCAAGACAGATCATGAAAGCTTGATATTTCTTTTGGACCAATCTACTTCAACACCCGCCCAACATAAATGGCTATTGCAAATGATGGCTTATGATTTTGATATTGTGTACAGGAAAGGTTCATCTAATGTTGTAGTTGATGCACTCTCTCGCATTCCTCAAGCACAACTATATGCCCTCTCAACATTCTCTACGGATCTATTGCTTAGAATCCAACAATCCTGGTCAAAGGATCAAGCCTTCGCATCTATTTTAAACAAGGCTCAATAAGATCCTTCCATTGTAGGGAAATATTCTTGGTCTAACGGTCAACTTCGAAGGAGAGGGAAGTTGGTGGTAGGTAATGACCCTGATCTCAGACATGATATATTTTATCCTATTTTCATGGTTCTCCCACAACTGGTCACTCTGGCATGGATGCCACTCTACGAAGGGTAGCTGTTGTTGTTTATTGGAAGGGACTGAAAAAGTCAGTGAGACAATTTGTTAGGGTAATGTTCTGTTTGTCAACAATGTAAACCTGAGCATGTGGCTTCTCCAGGCCTTTTACAACCACTTCCCATTCCTGACAAGGTTTGGATAGATGTTTCCATGGATTTTGTGGGAGGGTTACCAAAATCCCATGGAAAAGACACTGTCATGGTAATTGTGGACAGGCTGAGCAAATATGCTCATTTCATTGTATTGGCACATCCTTATTCAGCTCTCACTGTAGCTCAGGCTTACTTGGATCATGTTTTCAAGTTACATGGTGCTCCATCTTCAATTGTCTCTGACAGGGATCCAATATTCATGAGTCAGTTTTGGTCTGAATTACTCAAACTGTTGGGCACAAAGCTGCACATGTCGACAGCTTACCACCCTCAGTCTGATGGCCAACCGTAGCCTTGAGACTTATTTGTGATGCTTTTGTGCTGAAGAACCCAAAGAATGGACCAAGTGGAAAGCAACTGCAGAGTTGTGGTACAACACCAGTTTTCATAGCTCCAGGCATGCCACTCCGTACAAGATTGTTTATGGACATCCACAACCAATGCATCTCCCTTACCTTCCTGGTGAATCTAAGGTGGATACTGTAGATAGAAGCCTAACAGCTAGAGAAGCAACAATACAGAATTTGAAATTTCATCTTCAAAGAGCTCAGCATCGAATTAAACAGCAAGCTGAGAAGAAAAGATCTGACAGAGAATTTATAGTGGGGGACTTTGTCTATTTTAAGCTCCAACCATATAGACAAATGTCGGTGGTACAGAGATCCAACCATAAGCTTTCTGCTCGATATTTTGGTCCCTATCAGATTGTGAAGAAGGTTGGCAAGGTTGCCTATGAACTTGCTCTGCCCAATGGTTCAAAAGTACACCCAATCTTTCATGTTTCTCAGTTAAAAAAGCACCTTGGTAAGCATCCTGTTCAAGCTCAGTTGCCTCTTATTGATGCTGAAGGTCACATTGCCAAGGAACCGGTTGTAATCTTGGACAGGCATATTACTAATAAGCATAACAAGGCTGTCACAGAAGTTCTTATTTCTTGGAGTAATGCCTTTGCAGAAGATGCAACATGGGAACTACTTTATGAGATTCAGAAGAAATTTCCAAACTTTAATCCTTGAGGACAAGGATACTTTCAAGGGAGGGAATTTGTCATCAGCCCATTACCTTCCAGCCCAACACCAATTACATTACCAAGCCCAATTATGTTTAAACTTATTATTACTGTTAATATTTGATTAGTTGTAATCACTTTACTTGTCCGTATATAACGGCTAGTGCTTTACAAACAAACTATCAGATATTTTATGAAATAGCAGAAACTCTTTTCCCTTATTTTCTTATCTTCTTTTCTTTTCCCTACTTCTGCCATCAGATCTATCCTTAGGTCGTGACACGAGACCTCAACGCCACCAAAGCTTCTTCTTCGTGTTTCCTTTCTCCCACACAAGCTTCTTCTCTCAATCATTTCCTTCGAAACCGCCACCTTCCTACACCCGATTCCAACAACTCCACCGTCGGTTCATCCCAATTTCCAACTATGTAATTCCCTTTGCTTCTCTCCCTCAAAAACCTAAGCTAATTTCAACCAAAGCCTTCCCCCTTACTACATCCGTAAATCCGACCAAAGCAAGTCTTAACCGCCCTTGATCGACACTTAAACGACCCTTCTCCTACCCCCCAACGAAACCCCAACTTAATTTTTACCAAAATACTTCGAAAATGTGAATCCCCCAAATTTCGTTTCTTAGAACCGTAGCTTCGACTTTTATGAGAAAGAAATTTGAGAGAGAAAGTTTGGGGAAGCAGCTTTCGTGAATCTTTTTGAGCGAAAAATCAAACGAGTGAAGTTGGATTGAATGAATCTGTACGCTTTTTTTTTCCAGAGGAGATGAGAGTTTTTAATCAGTGAAAGAGCCTGAGTTTTTGATGGATGAGGGAGAGTGAAGAAATAGCTAGAGAAAGTTTGCGTTTTGAGGGAAATCAGAGAGTTTCTAGTGTGTATTTCGTATGTGTGTGTGAGGAAGGTGAAGAGATCAAGGTCAATTATTGATATGAATGAGACTATGTAGTGAGAGAGTAAGAGATGAGAGAAGGAAGAGAGTTCATGATCGAGGATAGAGTGATTGTCAGTGTGTTTTCTTCATCAGCCCCAATCTGTTTCTTCCAAATGGGTAAGATCAAAATCCTCCTTGCTAGCTATCCTTCTTCCTTCTTATCCTCCCCTTTTCTTAGCTAACCAATTTTGTCTCTTGCAGGGTAGTTTTTAGTATTTTGGGAATGAGAATGAGACCTCAATGAGCTGTCCTGGTGAGTCAGCTAACAGATTCCCTGGATTCCCTTTTTTCGGTTTTTAATGTGATTTTCCCTTGGCTTCCCTGTAATTGATATTTGGTGTTCATTTCCCTGAAATTACACTGTGCTTATCATTATTTATCTCCATATCAGGTAGCTTGCAGGAAGATATGGGCTGAGCTGTATACATGGTGATCTGGCAGAGGACAAGATTTTTTTTCAGGTAATTTTGTTTCTCTCTATACTTGCAATTGGGTTTTATTGCTGCCATTGGTTGATGGATGGCATTTGATTGTGCATTGATTCATAACCTGCAGCTTCTGTTTGATCCTTGAATTGGGCCCTGAAATTCTATTTTGAAGTGAGTGGGAATGAATGATCATACAAGCATGAGAATGAGCCTAAATGCATGCTGTTTAAATGCCTAAGACTTGATCATATGCAATCATATGCAACCTAATGTTATATGAAAACTATTTATGTGCAGGAATATAAATGCTCTCTCTTTTTTGTTTTCTGATTAATTGGAATGCAGTAGTATGTGAGGAATGCATGAGATAATAAATTGTATGCTAGAACTGCCTATTTGTGCTTAAAGTAGTGGAAAAAAACGAAGATGTCGATGCTAACTAGGTCCTAGGATGCCTAAGATTAGTGCCATCTAAAAGCTAAGCTCTACGAATTCAATAAATAAAAAACAAAGTGATGGCTAGAAATGATACTGAATTAGAGTACTTGATTGTTCTATGGTGGATATGCTAACTAACCAAATGCCGTATAACTGTAGTATGGATGTTAACATGAATGGATAAATATGCAAGAATTTGAATGCTCTATATGCTGCTGAATTGACTCTAAATTACACGACCAAATGCAATGCTTTTATGACCTATGTCAGAATAAAGTTTAAATGCTAATTTATCAATGTTGTTTATGTATGAATGTCATGAAATTTTATTTGTCTATTTATGCTAACTTAACTATGTGTGCTGTTAAGACTTAAATGAGTAGCTGCAAGAGACAAATGTGCATTTCAAGCTGCCAATTCATGGGGGAGAGACTTGACAAAAGGTAAAGGGAAACAGAGCTGCCCAGGAGAGATCCAAACCAAATTGAGGGTACACAAAAATGAGAAAAACAACATTTTTTATAATCCCCAATTTTGTTTCTTTTTGTAAATTTTGAGCTTGAGACTTCAGTCTGTAAATACAAGTTAAACTACCTTTCTTTTGTATTTTATGCTTATGTAAATGTACCAAATTAAATTAGGCTAATATATTAAAAGGCCCAATATGCCATGAAATTTCTCTTCATAATATGCCCAAGACTGAATTTAACCAATGACTGTAATGCATGATTATGATTCATGAGTAACATGTGCTACTAAATACCCCTATGGCTAATTGGCAAATAAATGATCATGAGCATGCCTTTTAAGAAGTGAACCAGGAAATGTTTGATGTGATGAATATGAATGATATGAACGTGCTCTATAAATAATTGCGAAAGTAAACTAAATGTGCTTAAAGTGAAAAATGAGAATACTAACTAAAAATTGGATCTGTTACTGAAAGGACTTAAGCTATATACAAAAAATACTGAAGGTGCACATCAAAATTTTTGGTTTTTTCCAATACAATCTGGATGACTAAAATGAATTAGCTAATCTAAATTAAAAGCGAACTTAAAATGACTAAAATGCCCCTGAACATGCAAATGACCAAAATGCCCCCTGGTGCCAAAATGACCAAAATGCCCCTAGATGACCCTAATGACAATTAACAAAATAAATTAATTTAAATTGAAGGATATAGGACAAAAACGGGTGTCTACAAAAGGATACTAGACAAAGACAAGTATCTGGGCCTCCCAATTATGATTGGTCATTCAAAGACAAGGGAGCTACAGTTTATTAAGGAGAGGCTTCATAAACGTATTACTAATTGGAATTCAAAGCTATTTTCGCGTAGTGGTAAGGCAGTCATGATACAGGCGGTGGCACAGGCTATTCCAATGTATCCAATGAGTGTATTTCTGTTTTCCGAAAAGCATTGTACAAGAGTTAAATTCTATGACTGCAAGGTTTTGGTTGGGAAGTACATCTTCTAGGAGGAGAATACATTGGAAAAATTGGGAATCCCTATGTGTTTAGAAGCTAGATGGGGGTTGGGCTTTCGGGATTTTGAAGCCTTCAATTTAGAACTTCGCTCTAATCCATCTTTTTTATGGAGAAGTTTATTGGCAAGGAGGCGAGTAATTCTTGAAAGTTTTAGGTTCAGAGTTGGGTCAGGTGTTTTACATATATGGAGGGATCGATGGGTTAATGTCCCTTTATCTTATCGGCCTTCTCCTCGTATTACTTATGTTATGCCTGATCTACAAGTCTCCTCGTTAAAAGACTTCGAGGCTAGGATGCGGAAGTGTGATAGAGTTGTTGATTTGTTTGCTGAGGAAGATGCTAGACGGATATTGAGTTTGGTGATTCCAAGGCAGCCTGTGGAGGATCGTTTGATTTGGAATGCTTCTAAGCTAGGAGAATTTACGGTTAAGTCGGCCTACCATGTAGCTCGAGGTATGTTGGGGAGGGTTGAGCTTCCAGCGGAATTGAGATCGCCGTTATGGAGGATTATTTGGTCTGCCCGGGTCATGCCAAAAATTCAATTTTTTGTGTGGAGGGTGGCTTGGGATATTCTTCCAATCAAGAGTAATCTCATTCATAGAGGGATACATATATCTAATTTTTGTGATGTTTGCGGTGGCCATGAGTCCTCTACTCTCCATGTTTTCTTTTCTTGTCCTAGTAGCAAATTAGTGTGGGAGAATGTGTGTCCTTGGGTTGCTCCAACTATTGATCAGTGGGATAATATTGGTGATCTATGGGAACTACTAGTTGGGAAGGCTGCTCAGGTCGGACAAGTGGAGAAATTCTTGGTAACTTTGTGGCTAATCTGGTGTAATAGGAATCGTGCTCTTCATGAGGCTATCTGTGCTTTGCCAGCTGCTATTGTTCATTCTGTCGCTGTGATTTTGGATCAGTACAGTTCGAGTCTAATACAGTAGTAAAGGCTTCCAATCGACTTGGTAAGCAGCTTGTTTGGGAACCTCTTATGCGTGGAACTATGAAGATAAAAACCGATGCTTCGTTTTCTTCTAGCTCGGGTGAAGCTGGTCTGGGAGCTATTATTCGAGACGATGAAGGTCAGGTTATTGTCTGTGGTTCGAGGCAACTGAGTTTTGTAGCTGATTCATTGTATGCTGAGGTTCACGCGATTCTGCTTGGGTTCGAATTAGCCCTTGGATATGGTCTTTAGAATTGTGTTTTTGAGTTTATTGGGAAGGCGGTCTGTTGATTGACGAAATTAGAGATTTGACTACCTTATTTGACTTCTGTTCGTTTAGATTTTTTAATAGAGAAGCTAATATCTTAGCAAATCTTGAGGTGGATGGTGTTTGGTACGGGACTATTCCTCCCTATGTTTAATATTTTCCATCCTTTTCATTAACCAAAAAAATAATGTCTCGGAATGATGATATGATACGTTATTCATATTCCATCTTCTACTTCACCTTTTGCATTTTCCTCATATTTTTCTCTATTCTCTATAAGTTTTCACTCATCTTTTATTTTATTTATGTTGTTTCTATTTTTCTTTCCTTCAAAATTCAAAGAGAAAATGACAGGACTAGAGAAATTGAAAAATATGATGTGCAAAGTGAAGTGTGAGTGATGTGGCCATTTATGGCATGTGACGTATTGGGAATGTTTTATTAGATGGAATTTGTTAGAGTGACCAAATTTGGTTCACTTTTGAAACTTAAGTGACTT